ATTGATAAGACATATAAGAAAAGTTGATTATAATTATATTATAAATTAAAATTGTATTATTTAAAATAGTATTATTAAATCTAATTTGTATCATTTTAATTTGCTATATTTCTGTAAATATGCTAAAAAAAAAAATTTTTACTCATTTTTACTCATACTGATATACATCAAATTTCTGATTGATTTCCATGAAATTTGAGAAATTAAAAAATTTAACAAATCAAAAACATTTGCAAGAAGAAAAGCTGCTTAGTCTTATTTCTTGTTACCAAACAATTATCATTGTTTAGCTATTTTTTCTTATCATTACTATTACCTGAACTGATGATATGCTTATATTAATTGAATAAAATGCTATTTGATGTATTTTTGTTATCAGTGATTATGATAATATTACTAAATTAACGAATGATTACTGTTCATACATTCAAAACTTCAAAAATATTAGCAAAAAATTGACAAAAATCATGAAGAAAAATCATAAAAATGCAACTTAATCCTATATCACTTATTTTTTTTTTCATGATTTTATAATTGGATTCAAAAAAAAGAAAATTTCTTGCTCAAAATTATAATTCAAAATCAAAATAATCATCTTCTTTCTTTATCTATTACACACATTATCTTGTTATCAGTGATAAAAATCAATGTTTAAGTTAAACTATCAACTTATAACTTATCAGTTAATTGTTTTGTTTTGTCTTATTTTACCTACACTTTTAAATGTCATCATTTTAACTAGTGATATTCCATTTAACACAAAAGAACGATATATTTCATAAATTATTCCATAAATTTTTTTTTTTTTTTTTTTTTTTTTTGCATTCACTTTCTTTCTCTTTTTTTTTTCCTTTACATTTCCGATTAAAATAAAAGAATATAAATTTGTTGAGTGCAACTGAAAACAAGATTTCGTCAAAATTTTTTTTTTTTTTCTTTTCAAATTGAATAAACGAATGATAATGAAATGATATGATAATCTCTGTTTAAAATGATTTGATTAGAAAAAAAAATATTTTTTAAGATGTTTAAAATGATTAGAAAAAAAAAAAGAAAAAAACAATTTCTTGTTTTTTTTTTTTTTGACAACTCTAATCAATTCGAGTAATTCAACTAGATCTACAATTAATAATTAATGTTTAGTTCGTTTTTTTTTTTTTTTTCCTTAATTACAATAAATCATCATTGATTGGTGAATACAATGATTCTCGTACTATTAATAGAACTATTCTTGAACTTTTCTTTTCTCTTTTTTTTTTTTTAACTTTTTTTTCCTATCAATGATTTTTGTTCTTACAACAAAACAAAAACACAAACACATATTTTTTGTTTGTTTGTTTGTTTGCTTTTTTCAGCAATGATTTTTTTGATAATTTTATTAATCAATAATATAAAAAATTATTAAATTAGCAACTTTTTTTTTCTTTTTTTTTTTTTTGTTTGCAATTTTGAAACAAAAAAAAAAAAAAAAAAATTAGAATAAATAATAAAATGAAATGATATGATATGATAAGATAATAAATACATTGAGCATAAAAAATGTCACATCTGAATAAATTGTGCAAATTAATATGTTGGAAAAATGAGAAAAAATTAATGGAAAAAGATGAACTGACAAAAAAGACATTTGTACGAGAAACCAAACTTTATTACACAATGGTTTTGTTTGGCAGCGCAATGAAACAAAATGAATAAATCTAAAAAAAAAAAAATCCAACAAAAAAAAAAAAAGAATTTACTGTTTTTTTTTTTTTTTTGTATCAAATTATTACCAATCATATATTTTCATTAATAAATTTTTTTTTTTTTTTTTTAAAGTAAAATTAAATTTTGCATATGTTGGAAGAAAAAAAAAATAAATAAATAAAATGAGATGAGTGTGACGTACAATAAAATCTCGAGGACAGTAATTAATTATATTTCTTCATTTCTTAAAAAAAAAAATTTTTTTTATGTTATCAAAGTTTAAAAAAATAATCATTTTAAAAATAGTATTTTTTTTTAAATTCAAAAAAAAAAAAGTCATAAGACAACTTGAAAAGAAGGAAAAAAAAAACTATAAAATTTGCAAATTACAAAAAAAAAAAAGAAAGAAAGAAAAAGATTCTAACCGTAGTAGGCTTCGATATTGGATGCGATTTTGCGGTAGTAGCCAAGAAGAGTATAAATACAAGAGTGTATAAATGCAGATGATTGTAGTAATGTTGGCAGTAGTAACAGTAGCAATAATAATCATTTAATGCTTTAAAGTTATTTGGCCATAATTTAATTTCTGGCCAATAAAATTTGAGGCGTATTATGTGCGATACAGTAAAAATCCAACGATAATACAAAGAGATGCACAAAGTGGTTTGACTATCAGTATGGGATCGATAAAGAATTTGTCCCATTTCCATTAATACTTTAAGCATTAGGTATCAACGATAGATTAATATTTATATGGATTGGAATTAAAATTTCTTTCTTCTCTTTCTCTTTCTCGAATTTTCGAGAGATTCAGATAAAGTGAATTTTTCAATTTTATATATCTTTTTTTTTTTTAAATTTATTTATTTATTATTAAAAATAGACAGTTTTTGCTTGTTTTCCTTTCGCTCCTGCTTTTCACTTATCAGTAGCAAAAGCTTAAGGATAGCGATAAAAATTGAGATAAGATGAAGATAATTGTATTACTGCTGCCTTCGAGGTGCTTTTGGGATTAAAATGACCGTGGCGCTGTTGGTACTGGCGGTTGTATTAGGAAAGTTACCCCGCATTTTCTGTACAGGGAGCTCTCCGGTCTCCAGCACTCTGTAGTGACGACTTGACAAACTTCATCTCACACCCCCCCCCCGTCTTCCCTCCCGGCCCCTCCCCAAGTAAAACATCATGTCAAACCCCGACCCTATCTATCCTTCCTTCCTTGTGCCGCCTACTTTTTCACCATCTCCGCCTCGATACCCTTAGAAGGACGATTGAATATAGTAATAAAGACTGACCACGCCTTCAATCAAAAATTTTTCCAACGAGGAAAAAGACTCATTTTTCCATTCTTCATTGATAATTGTCTAACATTCACAGTAAACGAAGTATTATTGTCTTCCTTAGACAGTAACTAAAATTTACAAAAATATTTTATTAAAAGTTATCGCACATTGATAAATGATAACAATGCTTAAATAGGATGAAAAGAAGAATGAATTGGTAAATAATCAATTTATCATTCAGTAATTATTCAATGAATTTTGAATATTTTCATCATTTTTTCATGGATTTTGAAATACAATAACCATTTAATTAATTGATTAATTAATATGCTAATCAGCTACTACTTATATCGTTTAAAAGTGATACTAATTAAATGTGAGATTGTTTAAGAGCTAAATTTGCTTTAATATAATATTCAGTAACTGTGGCATCACTTAAAAGTATTGATATTTATTTGAATTTTGAAAAAAATTCACTGGAAATATTCTATGTGCAATTAAATTATGAGCTTTAAAAGGATAAAATTTGCTTCGACATTGATAAAAGAAATAATCTTTCACTATTGAAAATTATCACTAATCATTATTATCATAATTGTCAATCAACAAGTAAGATGTCACCCGTACTGTGACACTAAGGTATGATTAGCAAGCATATTAGAGTAAATTTAAATTAAGAGATAAATAAGGAAACTTTAAGAAATGAAGAATATTTCAAAGAATTCTGTAGACGATACGTAAAATTGTGACATTAATTTCGATAATGATGGTACAAAGTTCATCATGAAAATACATTTTAGACGGCGGAAATTTTCAATAAAAGCGCATTTATGTCAATAGAGAATAGGAAGAGAAGTAAGAAGCACTGAAAATGAAAAAAGGATTACAAATTCTTTCTTTCCGGTTAAGTACTTTTCAGGAATTTTGAGAAAGCGAAGCAGAAAAATGAGAGTAATTAGGTTAGAAGAGAAAAGAAAGTATGCATTTTCTTCAATTTATTATATATCATTGTTTCTTTTTGGAATGGTAGATTTGAACTTAATCGTTAAACATATAATTTGAAAAAGCTTGAAGTTTTAATAAAACTTAATGAGTGTAAAGAAAAATGAAAAGTTAAATTCAATTTCAAAGTTCAAAATATACATTTTATCTTCTGTAGAACCTAAATTATCGTTAAGTCAATGCTTTCTTCAAATTCTGATTGCAGCTACTATCAATTGAACGATTTCATTTCATCATATGATAATAATTTTCAAGAAATTAGAACAACACTTAATAATTTTTTAAAATTTCAATCTTATTTCTTATTTATTTGAAAGAAAAAATATACTTAGTCCTATATACAATCACTAACATTTATTCGTCTAAAAGTTAGAAAGAATAGAAAATTTAAATTTTCTTAAAAACAGTCATAAATAATTTTAATGTAATAGGATAACTTTAAAAAAAAAAAAAGAGAGAGAGAGGAAAATTAGAAAATAGACAATGTTTAAATAGACAGCTCTTAATTACTTTTTTCTTTTTTTTTTTTATTATTTTTACTCTAACTGATAACTGATAAGTTAGCAGTATATATACTTTATTATTTTTACTCTAACTGATAACTGATAAGTTAGCAGTATCATTTCATAGCATAAAGTTACAACTGAAAGTAGAACACACTTTATGCATAAAATTTTAATTTGTTATTTTCCGAAATCCTTTTTACGACTTTTTTCTTTTTTTTTTTTCATGAAAACTACACCAAATCTATCGATTAGACATTGATTCGGTAAAAAGAAAAAAGAAAAAGTTGGAATAAAAGTAGCATTTTTAAATAAAAATGAATCACTCTCAGATGGTTCTTGGAATTTTGAAAGAATTCAGCGCTTATGTATGTACATTTGCGCTTCAATAATCAAATATTATTGAAACATTTAATCATAATTGGTTATTGCTATATGCAACAAATTTATGATACTTAAAAAATTAATTAGATTAATTTTTGAAGAATATAAAATGAATTTAAGAATTCAATTCTGAATGTGAGGGTGGAGAGGCGTAGCGCAGTGGGAGGATGCTAGGTTCACATCACAGAGGTCGTTGGATCGAAACCACCCGTTGCTGCTACGGGTTAAACTTAAAATCAATGTCGGCTTTAAAATATAATTTGCTCTAAAATAAGTGCTGCCTTTCTAAGCAAAAAAAAAAAACTTAAATGTACCAAAAGTAAAAGTCACTTAGGCCATTTATTTGTAAAATTATTGTAAATTTCCTGTGCTTTACAATTTTAAAAATTTCAATCTATAAAATATCCTAATATTCTATCAGTCCAACAATTTATTAAATCTGTTTCAAATGAAAAGAAGATAAGATTTAAGCATTTAAAGTGGATTATGGATCATTTGACTGCAATTTTAGTAACACTTCAAAAATATTTAATTCTTTTTGATAGACAAATCAATTACTAAAATAAAAAATAAAAAAAAAAAAACGCTTAACTATTTATTTCATTGTGTTATTTAATTTAATGAAAACTCAAGGACTACAAGAAAGTCTCTTTCTAATAGGCGGATGAATTTTAAATTTTATGACATTGAATTTTAAAATTATGACATTGTTTTTTTTTCTTTTTTGTTTAATGTTGATGGTAATTTATCCAATTTAATTCAGTCAATTTAAATTTAAATCGTTTATTTCTTTCTAACTGCTCTATTCAAGAAAATGTTTTCATAAAATTTGACGTGTTCCAACGGACGATATAAATGAATAAGAACAAGTGTGTAACTTGTTATTAATCATTTTGTGTAACATTGTGCTGTAGACAGTTCGCTTACGATATCTGATATTACCATTTCATAAATTGTTTAAATTAAAACCACGAGGTTTCAAAAAAAAAAAAAAGAAAAAAATTCATGAGCCAAATTCTAGGAAATGCTAATTAGCTAATTATACTAGCAGAAATGTTTTATTAATGATTTGTCATAATTAGTAACTTTTTATGTCCTATTCAATTTTCACAATTAACAAAATAAAATGTGATGAAACTTAAATTTTAAAAAATGTCTAAATGTGTTTTTTTTTTTTTTTCATTTTTTTTTTTGCACTTATTTTTACTAAATAGAAAAAAATGACAGTAAAAGTGATGAAAAACTTGACAAAATTGATAAAATGAAAAAAAAAAATATAGTTTTGAATATTGAATATATGAAAAGATAATACATCCGTTAGTGTTATTTTAAATAATTTTAAAATAATTAAAGAAAGTACTTTATAAAAAAATTTTTTTTTTTTTTTTTTTGTTTTTGATTAAAAGAACCATTGAATGAGAAATTAATATAAAGAAAATTTAAGTTAAACATATGTTTTAATTGTATCAAACGCATTAATTTCGTAGAAATTTATTCAGTAATTTTTTGAGATAAATTATCACACATTAATCATAAAATTAACGAGAAATGCTTTCTTAATCTTATTTCAATTTTATTTTATATAGCAAACATATAATTTCAATTTAACTTGAAAATGAATTACAAGAATTATTTGAAATCTTCTGCTACTTTTTTTTTTTTTCAACTATCAAAATTTTTGATTTTTCTCGATAATAAAACTTTGAATGCAAGAATAATGAAGGAAACACTTATCAGATTGATGTTATCACTATATTTCATAACAGTGATGCGAATTTGTATAACTTCTAGCTTACTTACTGATAATATGCAAATGCAACTGATCAGTACTTATTAGATGCTTTTAGACAAATTAAATCTAATCAAACTAACATTTTTTTCTCAAAATTTCAACTTTTTATTCCAAAAAAAAAAAAAATTTCACTTCTAAAATTACATATCATTCTTGCATAATTTAGCATAATAATAATTTGCATAATTTAGTCAGAATAACTATTTTAGGATATAAATAATATTGCATAAATATATGTATCATAGAATTATTGCCAATATGTAATTCATTTAATAGAGAAATTTGAGAAAAGAATTTAAAATTCAATAAAAAAAGCAAAAAAACCATGAAGAATTTCGGAAAAAAAGTGATGTAATTTTATCAGTTTCATTCAAATATCCAATTAACGAATATAAATTATGAAAAAGGAGGTGAACACTTAAATAGCCATCAAATAGTTAATAATTGTATGAGAGAGAGAGAGAGAGAGGAAGAAATAGATTAGAAATATTTTTTCTTTTTTTAGATAGATTAAAAATAGATGATCAGCTTAGATAAATCTGAATAGCTATGTTTACTCGATGATGACAATTGCATTAACATCAATATAATACTGCAGAAGGATGTTCATGTCATCAGATATGAATTTAGAATCAATTGTTACAATAAAAAAAAAGAAAGAGAAAATGTTCAAATAATCAGTTATAATCTAAGCTGCAAATAAGAGTAATCAAAATAGTATAACATTTCAGATATATCTAAAAAGAAAGAAAAAAAAAAAACTCCGTGAAGGAGGAAAGAGATATAACAAAATTAATAAAAGCAAAAAAAAAAAAAAAAAAGATCAAAGAAAAAAACAAAGATTTGAAATAGGATCAAAAAGATAAAACAAAAAGAAAAAAAAGTTTAATTTCACCTTCCAATTCATTAAAGTTCGTATTCTGAAGCATATACTACAGTAATGCATAATGTATTGATAGTATTTTAATAATTAGTTTGGTTATTTGGATAATAATTTTAACACAATCAACTATCACTGTAATTAATAATTCACAGCTTATCATTCCTTGTATAAGCTCGCTGATAATGATTGTTTTAATGATGAATTCATACAAAAACAAAAATTATTGGAAATTAATATGAAAACGAATGAACGACTCCAAATGAAATAAATGCAAAAACCGATACAAATTGTAAATCGTATCAGCCAAATGATATGTGAATTAGTGTTGTCGAAAATAAACGACATTGAAAAACGAGGACTGCTAATTTCGCTTGTCATTATTTCTAATCAAACATAATTAAAATCACAAAAATACTACCACCATCTATGACTATTTATGCCAGTTGAAAATATGAAATGAGTTCCTGATCGAATAAGTGAAGACTGCAAAGCTTCGCATTTAAAATTTTGTACCAAAACACAATCCTACTGCTAAAATCCAATGCCTGCAACCAAAGCATATAATACGATATTTTTTCAGTGATTTTGCTACTAACAAATTAATGAGAATTGTTTATTTTTTTGTTTTTTGTAATGAACAAACATAGTTACAGCCACTTTATGTATATTTATGAGCATTTACAAGCAATTACTATTTTTTTTTGTGTGTGTGTAATAAAAACTTCTAATGAAGCAAGAATACTAAATAAAGAATGAGAAGAAAAACAATATATGCAAATTATGGAACTGATAGTCCTACTAACACAGTGGATTATAGACCCACAGCAGGAATTAAACAACGAACTAAAAAAAAAAAAAAATCAAACATAACCTTTCAAACAAGTTTTAAAACTCCATGATTCAAGCCAAATTAAGATTCATTATAAATAAATTCAAGAACTTTTATGCAGATGAAGTAGTCGTTTATCATAATTCATCCCAAAATAGTTGGCAATGTGAAGCTTCATAAAAAAAAAAATTCATTTCCGTTAAGGAAAGATGCAAAATTTTGTTAGCTCAAGATCAAAATCCGAAATTCTAAAAAAAAAAAAAAAAAAACGACTACTCTCTATCCTATTCGCTGATAATGTAAAGCTTTACAGCCGTAGGAAAATCACATAGATAATAAAAGGCTTTTAGGAATTCAGCTTATTAATCCGTTCTTCCAATCTAGCGATATCTGCGCCAAGCTTCTCTAAAGCAGCGTGCGTTTGCTGACGAAAATCAAATAACATCATTTCTTCTCTTTCCATCGTTTTGGCTAATTGTGAACGGATGCCCGTCAATTGACTCAATTTTTTACTGAAGTGTTCTGCTGAAAATTTATTAAGTCTTAATAAAACTAAAAAAAGCAAAAAGAAAAAACACTTACGTGTTTTTGTATAACGACGTATAACGACTAGACCCAAATATTCAAAATTGAATATTTGGGTGAATATTGACTCTATAAGTTCTTTTCTTCTTTATTTACTAAAAATACTTCTCATACACTCCGTTCCATAGTTGAGTACAGTGATTATGGGATTGATTATCACATAGTGTTAACATAATGATCGTAGAAAAATGATTTCGTTGCAATGATTAAAATTTTTTTTTTAATATTAATAACTGGAACCATTAGGAATAGAGAACTAAAAAGTAGCACCTCCCAAGCTTGCTTAAACTTTTGGAATATTGTCAGAAGAACTCTGATTTCCCAATTTCTATTCCAAAACTGTAACAAAAGATTGAATTTCGCAAAGAAATCATCTATATTTACAAAAATTAAACACTCAGTAACGAGACAAAAATTTTAAAATTTTCATAAAAACTGTGTACCTTGTTCATGAAGTTTTCTTAAATCATACATTCTTTTAACTGCGGAGGATAAGCCAGTGCAAGCTACATCCCATCGACTCATCATCTCATATAGTTTATCAACTTTATCCTCAAACTCTGAATCACATTTCTCCTTTTTTTTTTCTTCCACCTGCAATTTGCAGAACATTTGTATTAAATAAAATGGACGAAATAAAATAAATGCATTAAGACTACTTATTTCGAAATGATCAATCTATCAAACAGTCGATTATGATGGGCATAGCTTAAGCAGTCAAAATTCATTTTATTTGATTGCATTGTGCTATGAATATGTTTTGATTACAATGTTCTAAAATGCATCACTAAAAAAAAAAAACAGTAAAAAAGAAAAATCAAGAAAAAAACTATGATGGATAACAATATAAACATAAAGTAGTACTTGTTGAAGCTTAGAAAGAAGCTGCGTAATGCGTGAATGAAGACCATCAACATGAGCAGGATGTAATAATTGTACACGCATACGTAAATCTTCAATAGCTTCAGCAATTGGGATTTTGCAAATTTTCATGGATTCGTCATAACCAACACCATCAATCATCTGCTCCAAACGGTTGATTCGATTCTCCAAAACCGCTAGACGTCCGCTCATAATACTATTTTCAGCAGAACGAGTTGCACTTTCTGTTTTGTCATCTCTGTAAATTCTCCGTCAAAAAGCGAACTGTCACTGAATTATCTCTTTCTGTATTATAGATTTTTTTTTCAATTTTTGTAGCTTAGGTGTTTTATTGAAACTTCATTTATATTTCCAAAAAAAAAAAAAAAATCTAGAAATGGAGACCATTTAAATCCTGATGCTCCCCTCAAATATATCTGATGTGTAATGCAAAAAAAATTCGAGTTTTAAAAGCAGTTATTACAATATTATGCAAGAAGTTGTGAAATAATAGTGAGAATTAGCAGTGATTTTAAACTGCTAGCAATAAAAACACATACTTGAAATTCCGAGTTTTTCAATTTGCCTTAAAACAATCGCTTACTTCTTTTCACTTTGAACGCAAGTTGTAATGTCATCTTTATTCATTTGCAAAGCCTTCAACGTTTCCAGCATAGCAATCAAATCTTCTTCATGGACAACGCATGAGTCCGGTTTCTCAGATACTTTCTGAAAAAGACAAAAAAGAGATTTTACATTTAACCATCATGTCGAATAGGATCGTAATTTAGAAGAACAGAAGTTATTACCATTTTACTAAAAAATGAGTATTTTCATCTGACATGGCTGTTAAAACAACTGAAAGAATTCATAAACAAGAAAAACTAGTGATTATATCAAACCTGTTCTCGCAGAGATTCCGCTAGATCATTTATCTCACAATTTAAGCGAGTAAACTTCTGCTCCAACGTTTCTGTTTCATCTGCATAAGGTCCAATCACTTCAAGTACATACGAACCGCCACCATATCCACATCGTTTTCTGCGTACAATAGAATCCGAGAAATCTACACCGACCAAATTGTTATTGTATATCTTTTTTATAGTGCAGAAAAAAATATTCTTATACAAAGAGATCTGATAAAATATTTTCTACTACTGAAATTCTGTAAAACAACTAATATGAAATAATCAAAAATGATCATACATCTTTATAAAGGTGTTATGCAAGTTTAATGTCAAAAATCAAATAGATAATAGCTGAAAAAAAAAAAAAAAAAATGCGAAATATGCCGAACGCTCACCAACATTTTCTGTGCTCAATAAACGACCTTTGAATCGTTTCATAGCGTTGTCAACGTCGATGTGCACCCGCTCTATTTCTAAAATATAACTAACACCGCTGATAAAAGTAAATTTCGAAAAATTTTTTTCATTCAAATTATACTGATGTACTTCACTCATCCATTCAGATAAGTAAATGAAAAGCAAATGTGTCCGTATTGCAAAAGCGCCTTTGCTAATTAAAAGCAGTATGTGAGGTTAGTGAAAGAAAATTTCGGCTGTAAAATCTCAATCATTATTCTTTTACCGGGATAAATTTTGTTTATAACCTCTCTTTGACACAACGAATTTCATATGATTGATTATCACACTATAAATAGCAAAAGTTCAGAATTACAGAAATTTTCAATAATAAGTGGACAATGGAATAACCTTCCGATTCGTTCATTTCATCTTCAATCATTTGTTGATCATCTTCTGGTAAATCTTCTGTCTCGTAAACATCTTCCTTTCGTAATGACATCTTTTTCAGGTATTATTTGAAAAATATAATCTGAAAAAAAAAGAAACTTTCAGAAGAGTAACTCTTACGCTTTTGCATTCCTCAATTTAAACGCATTTTTAAATAAACTGATCTTTAAATGAGGAAATGCAGAAGTTAACAGATCACGTAGCTACACACGAGTCATACGTCACGCTTAAAGAAACACCTGCTTTCATATATCATCCGTTCTAACTCTTCCAGAACAATCGTCATCTTTCACTAACACCAATCCCTCCCATTGCTTTGCATAACGTCACCTATTGTCCGGCCATGAAATTTAACAGTACTACAATTGCATAGTTTCCGGATGATGTGACAATTTTAGAATTGGGATGAATGATTGGTGGCATTCTAACCGGAACCGGTTGAGTGGAATTTTTCGGGTGAGAATATCTATTCGTATAGTTTTGAAATATTGCAGCAAGTTTGATGAGATATAAAATGAATGTTAAAGTTTGAAATAATGTTACACCATTCTTTCTTTACTTATTTGAAATAGCATTTAATAATGTGAGAGAAAAGGTGAGAAAGAGAGAGAGGAAGTGTTTTATATAGTGAGGAGAAGAGAAAAGAATGAATGACATGTCCACTCTTTTTACTTATTGTAGAGTGACATCTCCGCTCTTTTGACTCGTTGTGAAATGATATGTCAACCCTTCTTACTTATTATAGAGTGACATGTCCACTCTTCTTACTTGTTTGTCAAGTGACATTGTTCAGTTTTTACTCACTGATTCATCAAGCAACACAACGGATAGTTTACTCCTTTATTCCATTATCCTTACAATCTTCTCATCCTTATCATTCATATTTCTCAGATCTTTGTTAACTTTATTCATTATTCTTATCAAATATCTTCCACTTATCATTATATTCATTCATCTTTACATATCTGTTTCATTCTTTTTATCTGTTCATTTACTGTTTTTATATTTCATTAATTTCGCCATTTGTAACCATTGGCTCCAAATTTTAATAAATCTCATTTTACAAATTTCATAATTGAAATCATTAAAATGTCCTACAATAGCTAGAAGTATTCAAACTTATTGTTTCTTCTCTATGCAGTGTGTATATAAATTAATCATCACTGCACTTTTAATGAATTGAAATATATTTTAATGTATGCGTGTGTGTGTGTGTGTGTGTGTATGCCTATGTGAATGTGTGCATCTGTCAATTCAAATGGGTTTTGTCCATGTAAAAAATTAATTCATCTAAAAAAAGAAAAAAAAAACTATGTACAGAAATATAACTACTTAAAAATTAAAATATTTCAATTAATTAAACATGCAATGACCATGTTTAATAATTAATTTAAAGAATTTTTATTTCTAGCCATAGTTTATATATATATATATATTAGAAACCATGGCATTGATCGAATCGTGAAGAAAAATGAATGTACACACTGTGATTTATATAGAGTACATTATGTGTTATAAGCCATTACTACAAAGCCAAAGTCACTGCGCCTTTATTGAATTGAAATATTTTTATTAAATGATTACAAATGACATATTATAATTGTTGGCTAAAAATTGAAAGGAAATATGTGATTTATTTGCATAAAGTAAATATACAAAAAGATTGGTGAGTAAACGAGTAAGCTGTTTTGTTGTGTCTGTGATCACTTTGACGAGTAGAATTTCATTTTGTCACTTTGACGAGTAGAATTTCATTTTGTAATTAATTTCGTTTTTGTTTTTTGTCTGGTTCCGAGAAGGTCATTTCGGATGCGTCTCTTTAACTATAGATTATCCTTCATCTGTTCGATTATCATGAAGTTTGTTCCATCTTCTTCACTTTTTTGACAATCATGTTTAATTAATTATACCGATTGTATTCATTGCTGAACTTTAAGTTTTACTATCATTTTGCATCCTAAATTTTAACTCTTTCCGTTTAAACACAATGAATTTTGTCTGAAAAAAATTTTGTCTGGTAATAATAGGGGAGACAGGATCATTCCGTTTTTAGCTGAATAATTACTTATCGATAGTATAAAATATCGAATATCTAGAAAAAAATGGTAGGTTAAATAAGAAATAAAAGATATATTGTTACAGCTGACTGTCGTTTCGAACTTTTACTTCCAGTTATTACTTCAATTCCAAATTAGTTCTTTATTTTGGTCATGTTTTGCTAACCGAAATATATCTCATTTTCTATCTTTTTATCGATCAAATTAATTTCAGGAAGTAAAAACGGCGGCTGCTGTTAGCTGACGTCTTCGGGGATTGCAACCTGAGCATTAATCAACTGCTGCAAATCCGCTGGTAATATGAGTGCTATGATAGTTCCAAGAAGACGGTCGCTTATATTTAGATTACTGCTTTTGATATCAGCAGTTTGGTTATGTGCTATAATGTATTTTTCCATTTCTACAAAAGTATCAGACAAGGTAAAATAACTTGTGTCCTCGGTAGATTTTGATAGATAGTAACTGCCTTTTTATTAGACAGTAATTACCTTTTTAATAGATAATCAATACACAGCTGAATAATTTAAAATTTGATTGGTGGATATGTTAACACCATTATACTGCTATCAGTGATTTATCAAAAAGCGCAGTTAACTTCTAATCTGCACCTCTTGAATAGAAGTGGTAATGGCTTTTTTGTGCATTTGTGTAATGTTTTTCACTTTTGTATAACAGTTTAGCGCTATTCTGAAAATCCAAAAGTATATATTTCGTTTGTTTTTCACTTTTTGCACTAGTTATTTCATTTTAGGGGGATTCGGTTTTTATAATCAAAATTTACATAAATGTAATTAAAAATTCAGTGGTGGGAAAGAACTGGAATATAAAAGGATACAAAATTTTAGGTCTCTTCTGTGAGGCATCCTAGAGTTGAATTACCAAAAATACATAAATTAGAAGGGTTCGGTCCTCCTGTGGTAATGAAACCTGCCATTGATGTCGAGGAGAAATTTCCCGATGAAGATTTCGATGTGAGGATTGAAAAGGTATATTCCTAATTTTATTTTTATATCAATAGGGAATTTTTTTGCAGCGTTTTGGTGACTGCAGAAAAAACAAAAAAAAAAAGTCAGTAAATGTAGAAGTAATTTTGGTACTTTATTTGCTAGCAAGTTGTTATGGTGTGCGCTGCACTATTACAATATTTTAATTTGTTAATCTGCGTGAAGTGTAACAAACAGAACGCTTAATTCATGAAGCAGAAATTCTGCAATTAAAAACTCATTTATAGGGGAATATTCCTAAGCCAAACAAAGCTCTATTCAATCCAGATTCTCCAATCTACAAATCGGGTGATGAAAACCAGCCGGGTGAAGGTGGGAAGGCAGTAGTAATCGATAGAAATGTTAGTGTTTATAGTTTTATTATTTTTTTTTTAAATTTTGCTACAAATTTAGTTGAGTACAGACTTGCATATGAATATATGTTATTTTCCAGAAACTGAGTCTAGATGAAAGAAAAATTTATGATGACGGATTCACCAAGAATGCTTTTAATCAATACATCTCAGATATGATTTCGATACACAGGAGTCTGCCTAGCTATATTGACGAAGAGTGAGTTATCTTCGACAATTTTGTTTTTCTGTTGAGAAATTTGTATCTTGTGATTTTTTATCTTCGTTGAAGATAAAAATTATCCACGTTTGTGTCTATTTTTATGCAGTTCTTTATTTTTTTATTTTTCTTTATTTTCTTGTAAATGAGATTGATTAGAGTTTCTTTCGTACCGATAGCATTTTGATGAGTTTACCAGAGACACTGTATTTACTCAATGAATTTTTGATTATAACTTAATGGTTAGATTTATCAATAGGAAGGAAAAACAAAACAAAAAAAATTGATCTAAAATCACTTTTTTCTTGTTGGACTAATTTTTATTTGTTCCTGTATCTACATTTCTTCAAATAGCATTATCATGATCAATATTTATTTGCTTGACTTTTGTGTAGTTCTAGATGTAAAAACGAAAAATACACAAGCGACCTTCCAAACACCTCGGTTATTATATGTTTTCATAACGAAGCTTGGTCAGTTTTACTCCGAACTGTACATAGTGTACTTGAAAGGACACCGGAAAACTTACTTGCTGAACTTATCTTGGTTGATGATTTTTCGGACATGGCACACCTCAAGGTTTTTTTTTTCTTAAGTTCAGAAAGTTATATTGATAAGTCTAGAAAACTTATGAATACATTTTTGAGAAGTACATCTTGAACTTCTGGTAAAACTTTTCTCGATTTGCTTTTGTATTGAAATTCAGTAGATCCAGTGATTTGGATATATTGAAAGTAATACGAGGTTGCTTGTGTTTTTCCGTTCAAAATATATGCATAAAATATAACCTGTATATAGGCAGATTTGGAAATTTATATGCGGCAATTTTCGAAAGTTCGTATTTTGCGCCTGGAAAAGCGCGAAGGTTTAATAAGAGCTCGCATAAGAGGAGCTGCTATTTCAAAAGGCTCTGTGATCACATATCTCGATTCTCATTGCGAATGTTTGGAAGGTGAATTTATTTTTTTGTTGTTGAATAAAGCTTTTAACTTTCCTTTATTTCGTATGCATTATGAACCCAGAATGTTGTATTAAAAAAAAAAATTAAGTGATGGAGAAAAGTCTTTTTTGATGGTGAATAATTTAGTGTCAGATGTCATTATGTTATATCTTAAAAAATTTTCAATATTGGTTCAAAATGTTTTACAGTGTTTCGAAGTTCTGTTTCGTTTTAGGTTGGGTAGAACCTCTTTTGGACCGAATCAAAAGGAATCCGAAAACAGTGGTATGCCCTGTTATTGATGTGATTGATGATAATACCTTTGAGTACCACTACTCGAAGGCTTACTTCACGAATGTGGGTGGTTTCGATTGGTCATTACAGTTTAATTGGCATGCCATTCCTGAGAAGGACCGTAAAGGTAGAAGGGACATTGATCCCGTCAAGTACGAGTTTTGACTTTAAAAGTTTTGTATGTTGAATAATTTAGCGTCAGGATTCATTACATTTGTCTCGGAAGATATGCAGTTCAACTTATTTGAAAATTTTGATTACCACTAAAAGAAGAGGTGAAAGAGAGCAATGTTAAGGTTTTGTAATGTTAATTAGCATAGATGTATGATATGGAAATATTTGAAATTCCTTGTTTTTTTCAGGTCTCCAACTATGGCCGGTGGCCTTTTTTCCATCGACCGTACTTTTTTTGAAGAATTAGGTTCATATGACCCTGGTCTCGATATTTGGGGTGGGGAAAATTTGGAACTTTCATTCAAAGTTAGTTGCTTTTGATTCTATTATTGAAAATTATTTCTAGAGTCATTAAGTTTGGGTGCAAAAAATTTTTTTTAAGTTTCTAAGGTACTTTAACTAATAAGAAAAAAGTTTTCATGTACTTTGGTTAATGGAGACTATTTTAATGATATGGGAATGATTTTCAATCATTATCTTTTTTCCTTTTCACTTTTTTTCCAATGAAATAAATATTTGCTCTAGATATGGATGTGTGGTGGAATACTAGAAATTGTTCCATGTAGTCATGTTGGTCATATATTTCGCAAACGATCACCTTATAAATGGCGTTCTGGTGTGAATGTTTTGAAGAGAAATTCTGTTCGGTTAGCTGAGGTGAGTTTACGAATTTTTTTGATTTTGTACATTTTTGAATTGAATATGGCAGCAATTTTTATAAATTTTTGAAAATTTTGAGGACAGTTTCTTAAGATTATGTTGTTGTCTGCCTAATGGAAGGGTAAAGAAATGTATTTTAGGTATGGATGGACGAATACAAGAAGTACTACTACGAAAGAATTAATAACAACCTGGTAAAGTTTTTCATTATTCAAAATACAGGAAGGAAATGTAGGAAAAGCAAACGTTTTTTGTGTCATTGATTAATTTCCTTGTTCTGGTATGACGTATGGAAATGGATCCGTATTTTTGCTGATATTTTCTCTTTGTGAATTTTTTTTTTTTTTTTGCTTTCTTATTCTCTGATACTTACATCTTTTAAGTTTGGGAAGGAAAGCTATTTAATCCATTTATATTATCATCGAAAAAATAACTGATAAATATAAATTACCATTCATTAATGATCAGGGTGATTTTGGTGATGTAAGCAGCAGGAAGGCACTACGTAAGAAACTACAATGCAAATCTTTCAAGTGGTATTTGGATAATGTGTATCCAGAATTATTTGTTCCAGGAGATGCCATTGGAAAGGGAGAGGTACTTTTCTTCACCATAAAGATATTACTTATTAAATTATTTACTGATATTCTTAGCTTTTTGCTTCGGCATTTAGAATTTAAGTTTTTTTATTCGAATATTCCTCCATTGCTGTTTTTTGAGCACTGCAATTTTTGATGCTTCGTTTCTATTTTGGTTCTGGTGATGTTTCTCTTGTTTTGGCGTTGTCCATCAGATTCGTAATAACGTGTGTTTGTATGAACAGTTTGAGTACTAATCCATTAATTTTTTTAACCGATGAAGGATGATGGATGATGGATGCACTTTATTTTACATGCACTTTTTAATTTCTAGTAGTTAAATCTTTTGTTTATATTACATTAATACTTTACATTTTGTCATTCTGAGTTAATCCAAAATGATGAAATACAATCAACTTCGATTATGGAGTTTTGCTGCTGATACTGGCCTGACTTTAAAATATTTTCACGTGAAATCTTTAGTCTCAAGAAGTACTGAGTGAACGATGGATTTATGTATCTCTTCTGTCTGTACAACATTATTTGCTGCTGCAGTGGCAAGATCTTAATTTAGGTGTTTATATGACAAATATATGTATGTATCAGCAGGTAACTCGAGCAGATATTTATTAATTTCTGCATAACTTCTGCAGTGGTTTAAAGTTTTCAGTATTCATTAACACAAAGGGAGTATATGGGAGGATCACTTTCAGATTCGTAATAAAGGCGAAGTGGCAGGGGATGTTGTCCAACACTGCCTGGATAGTGAGGTGGGCGAAGATATTCAAAAAGTCGTGATTGCGTATCCATGTCACAAAAGTGGTGGTAACCAGGTTCCTTAATTCAAGCACTGAATATTTTTTTTTTATCACTAAAAGTATTTGGTGGATTTTTATTTCCCTTCTTTTGATTATAAATACTACTCAAAAATGACTCACAAAAGAGCAGCCGAAACGAGACTCACATTATTAGAGCTAATCTACTCAGTGACAGGCTTTCTCCGTAGTAATTTTTTTTGTCTTTAACGACCAGTTTGCTGCATATTTTGTTCTTGTTTGAGCAATACAGCTGTAAACTATTCGTTAACACTGTCTTAGAAAGACCTTATTAAGGTAGCACGTGCTTATTGGAATCTGCGCATGGTCTGTTTTGCATATAGGAAATGAATTTTTTGATGTGGTTTATTGTTGCTTGCAGCTTCTGTTTCTCAATATTTGATGTTTCATTTTTTGTCCGTGTTTTGTTATTTCTTTTATGTCAAGCAGTACTGCAGCAGCAGCACTGAAAACTATCGCTCTTTTTTTTTTTTTTTTTTTATTTATTTCTTTGGATAGGAAATTGTCGTGCGAAAAATTCATGAAGTATTTGCTTCATGAAAGGAATAACGTGCATCTCTATAGATTCGCAACAGAGGAGGCAGATCGAAGAATTGTTTAGATTGGGCATCACATGGAAGGCAAAGATCGGCAAATGTGGGTCTGTACTGGTGTCATAAAAAGGGCGGTAATCAGGTATATTTCATCGCTTTGATATGGTTTGCAATGTATATTACACTTTGTTTACTTTTTTGTTGAGAACCTGATGAGTTACTACTTTCAAAATATTATACGTGTAATAGTAGTATTCTGGAAAGGAGTTATTTCTTGTTTGTTCTCACTTATTAGGAGGATGCAACAGTACTTGCTAAAAGCAAAAGCAATGAGTGTATCTGTTTGAATTCTTTACGATTTTTGACGCATAGTGTAAAGATATGTATATACTAAAATAAGACTATTAAATTTGTCTGCTCACTTTGTTAAAAGCTATTCTTTTCAAATAATTAAGAATTAGAAAAGACTTTTTATTCTTTCAATTCTTATAATATGTGGTAGCTACTTTTAAGAACTAAGTGCACTTTTACTTATATCCGATATTTTCTTTCTCTCTCATTTTTTGACTCTTATGAGCTGTTTCTACATGTACAGTGACGCCAAGCTTCCTGATTAGCTTTCCGTCACCAGGAATGCTGCAAGCAAAACAAATTTTTATGGCACAAGAGAAAAAAAAAAGTTGAAAAGGATTGAAGCTTAGCATTCTGATTCTACAAATCTAATATTTAAGAAGCTCTCATTTGCGCAGATTCCGAGAAAAGCAATTTCACAGTTATCAAACTATGCTTATTTTTTTATGTTGAAATATTTTTTTATAAACTTATTTATGCAGTATTGGATGCTAAGTAAGGATGGTGAAATACGGAGAGATGAGTCATGTATTGACTATGCTGGTGCCGATGTTATGGTTTATCCTTGTCATGGAATGAAAGGTAATCAAGAATGGAAATATCTTCCTGATGTGAGTTCATCTTTTTATATGTAAAACTTTTGACCAAATAAGTAACAGTACTGCTAATGGGAACATGATTAGTTACTCATTCGATTTTTCTCTATTATACTTTAAATTTTTTCTTCGTCGAGGAAGGATCAGAGCTGTCTAAATCCCATATTCTGTAGGAAAGTCAAATTCTTCATGTCATTACGAGCAAATGTTTGGAAATGTCGAGAGATGGTAGCAAATTAATGATGAATGTTTGTGATCAAGCAAATCCATATCAGCATTGGTTGATTCAAGAATTCAATCGAACATTAGCTAGACAGTACAAATTATTGTAAGCCAAAGTAAAGATTAGTTAAGTAAAGGAGAAGAAGAAAAGTCATAGGAAAAGTTATTGTTTAATATTGGACAAATTTTAGTTTCCCATCAATTTAAATCATTATATTATTATTATTTGAAGAATGCTGTTACAGTATCTTACTTATTATTTCAATACATTTTAGTGTGTTTTAGAGCAAAGAAAAGCTTCTTCTCTTTCCACCTTCACAAACAAATGAGCTCATAATGTTTCATTCTACATAATTCACTTATTTTTACCAGCTTTTTTTTTATTAAATAACTATGCAACTGTAGTTTGTTCATGGAAAATAGAACGATGAATCCTATTAACCCTAGAGGAACAAAATTATCAAATTACTTCTTGTTCTATCACTGAATCAGAATTGTTTTCTATGGGATATAAGATAATCATTATTTATATGCTTTTTGGTTTCTTTTCTTTTTTTGTATTTTTATATATTTTCGGAGAGAAATGTTCCTTTATGCTTATTTCATGTCTTTCGAATGATTGCATATTATTTTTTCTCATCTTGATATATTACAATTCTTTTTCACTTTTTTTTTTCTTTCCTTCCATTCATAGCATTACTGAAATTTTTTATAGTCTAACATTATTGAAAAATTCACTGATTTGTTTATCCATTTTCTTCTGATATAAGATGATTTCTACATTCTGATAGTTTATCAATTGAATTTTTTTTGCGGAAACATTGCAGACAACAGAAAGAAAAATGACATAAAATTTTGTAACAGAATGTGAAAATGATAATTAACCAATCATAGAAAAAAGAAGAATGTTCCATTCGCATTATAGTTGAACAAGCAGAGTCACATATATCTCTTATTACTTGCTGTACGTTCCTTTTGACAGCTGTGATATCATACTTTCACTATCTTTTTATCACTTATTTCTATTTCCGGTGTTTTCACTTCTTTGTAACCAAGCTTTATTCATTTCGTTTTTTGATGCTAATCGTTCTAAATATTCCATCTCACTTATTTATCTCTTCCTGGTACTTCACATTAAAAAAAAATAGAGAAGTGGAGAGCTTTCTGAACATTTCAAAGGAGTCACAAAAGTCAATTATTTTTTGGAGTAGCAATTAGTTGGGTGTTATTCTTAACTAATAGCGAGCTTGAGAAAGTTTTTAATGTTTAAGTGAAAATAGTATATTTAGTAAAATAGTACTTTTTGCTTTTTTTTTTTTTCACTTTTTGCAAATGTTCCTTATTTCAATGTCAAAGCCTTTCATATACATGCAGTAAATGAAGGTTAATACTGCATATATGATGTATTGATATTGCTGTGGTGCATCACTTCAATGTTTCATGTTCTGTTATATTTATTTTTGATGATATTTTTGATAGTTTATTTATGATTTCGGCATTGCATTCATTTAAATTGTTTTGGATAACATTCAACTTTTTTTTTTTTTTTTGGTCTACAAAAAAAGGTGAAAAAGCAAAAAGTTACTTTTCAAAAACATTTAACTTCTATACAACGAAAATTCAGAATTAACACTTAATTCTTTGGTTTTCGGAAAGATTATTGGTAATTTCAGTCATTACTGAAGTGGAACAAATTTATGTGGTATTTCATTCCCAAAATTTCCTTAAAATTCTTTTTTCGTCACAGAAAACCTCTTTCGATATTGAAGAAATTGTTTTTGAAAGGTCTTTTTATATTTATCCATTAATTAATTTATTGTATATTTATTTGTTAATTAATTTAAAACGAGTGATTTTTCTTATATGCATCTTATTTATTGCCTTTAATTTTGTATTCCATTCCTTAATTTTTCCTCTGTTGTCATAGCATGTATGTGCCTTTTCCATTCCCTTTTTTCTATTTTTATTGGTAATAAAAACTTCTGAAAAAATCTCAGTTTTCTTTGAAGAGGCAATTCACCTGTTGATTATTTTGATTTTCACTGCAGTGCAACAACTATGGCATTAAATGCATTTGACAGTTTTCAGTACTGTATCAAAGACAAAGCTCTTTCAATAATAAATAACATTTTTTTTTTTTTTTTTTTTGCATCGACATGAACTGTTCAGTGTGAAATCAACTCATGATTTACAATTTGTCGTGTTGTTATGGATTGGTTTGGTCGACCGCTCTTTTGTGGTGCTACTGCTGGATTGGTTGTAGACTTAACATTATATCCACTGGATACTATAAAGACTAGATTGCAAAGTTCTGAGGTAATAATATAAACATTTATTATATCATATATTCTACCATCTATTTATGTCTGTACGATAAGACTTTGAACATAATAGAATTCAAATGTGTTTTACTTTTCGCATTTTAACTTGTCATACTGACTGGTGGATTTTTTGCATTTGCAGTGTGATTTAGGAATATACGATGCAAAAGATATTCTTGTAAAGTCTTTAACTCGCTATAATATTTCAGGGATTTGCTGCTGCAGGTGGACTGCGAAATATCTATCGCGGTATGGGATCGGTGGTTATTGGTTCTGCGCCGAGTGCAGCACTGTTCTTTTCTACATATAATACGCTAAAGCGATTAGGCGGCAAAGAATGCAAGTAAATAATTGTGATTAAAATAGCATTTAATGGATACTACTATTGTTTTATTGTATGACAGTAGTTAGAACTATAAGCTAATTGAGATAAGCCGTTGGGATCTAATAAACGCTGCGAAAGCTTACTTTTTTCAAACTGTAAGTGTTAACAGTATAAATTGAGTGTCTTCCATTTTTTTGCCAAGTTATTAAGTCTCTTATCGTTCTCTTCAACTGTGACAAAATGATATCAAATAATATTTTTGACAGATAAAATACTGATCAGTATGTTTTCCGGCTGCATACTTTATGTTTCAAATATTAGATCCATTTCATTGTACTGGTTTTGGTAAAGTGGAAATTTTTTTCAGCAGTAGCTGTGAACGCAAGTGCAGCTAGTTTCTCAGAAGTTATTGCTTGCATTGTACGCGTACCTACCGAACTAGTGAAACAACGTGCGCAGGCAAAGCATGTCCATCATTTGGGCACAATTTGTCGAATGATTTATAATCGAAGTGGTATATTTTCTTGTATATTACAGTAGTCGATTTAAAATTCGTGATTCAAATAATTCTTTTGCAATTGACCAAAGTTATGTATATATTTTGCAATTTTATAGGATCACATGATATTTATGAAATTAATAGTTGAAATTGTTAAGATTTTGGGACCTTATATTTGATATACTGGTGGAATCTTCAAGATTTCTTGATTTGCACTCTTCCATGATAGCTTGCTCACTAAAGAATCTCTTAAAACTTTTGAATCTTTCTTTACTCTTTTATTAATCAGCAGATTAGTGCTAAATTTCTATTATTTTTCCATTATTAGAAGTCCAGGAGTTTTTGTTTTTAGTTGATTGACCCTTTGTTCAATGAGTTGCTGATGATATTCTGTACGAATTATCTGAGGCTTAGATATTACTTTTGTTAGAAATAATTTCTAATTTTTCATACAATTTGCTTTCTCTAGACTTAGCTATTTCTAATTGAGTAATGCTTTTTCAATTTTTTTCCAGGATTCATTGGATTCTATCAGGGTTTCTTCAGTACTGTGTTCCGGGAAATCCCATTTTCGCTCATCGAATTCCCTCTTTGGGAATTTTTAAAGCAAGAAGTAGCAAGGTTTGTTTCACTCACTTGTTTAATGTGTATCTTTAAAATTTTCAAATTATTTTAACACTGTTCGCAAAATCACAAAGTCCCTGGTGACCAGTAAATGTTACTCCAATTAATAGCAACTAAATTATCACATTGATTGAGAATGATAGGTTCTGTGAAATACGATTACGTTGACATGAAAAAATTCAGAAAATACAACTGATGAAACGAAGTCTTCATTAAAACGGAAGTAGCAGTAGTGCACCTACTAGTAAAAGTTTGATATTTCGTAATCAAAAAGATGTATTACCACAGCTCAAATAAACTGGATTAAATTTTATCTTCCAACCATTCAACCATCCATTTCCCTCTTAATAAATTTCCCACAACTTCTTTTTAATGACTAACGTGTCCATCACAACAACTACCTGATCGAGTTATGTTACTTGCATACTCGAATAAGATCATTCCTTCCTGGTGCAATGGTATATGTTCTTGACTGATTCCCAATTCCGTTATTGATTTATTTTTTTTATTTTACTATACATTACTACAGGTTTTAGGATGGACTTATTTGTGACATTTGCGAGTCCTACGTATTTTGTGCCATGGTAAAAGCGTTAGCTAAATTATCCACTAACATATAACAATTTAATCACTATCAACATCCCTTAATTATTTGCTCCCCTACAGAAGAAATGTTAAATTGAATCCTATATGAACGATCTATACAATAAAATGAACTGTTTAACTCAAGTTGCTAAAGTAAGTATTGTGTTGGACAAAATATTGTTAAGGATGGTATTTTTGAAGCTTTTGTCAATAAAACCTGTCTTAAAAGATACGTATATCTTCCTCGTTATTAATGCTATTTTAGCTTCAGCCTAATATTGAACACGTTGTGAAGAGCTTGTGTTAAAATTAGATACTTAGTTTTTCATCGTATCTTTCGTCATTTGCTTCCAGCAAAAACAAATTAGATATTTGAATTGCAATAGCCTTCGTATTTGCTCAGTTTCGTTTGCACCGTTCTGTCCGCATACTCACTTTCATTCACTCATCACTTTCAGTTTACATATTCCTGCAATTTATGTATTGCTTGAGCTAATAAATTGTTACCAACTAATGCTCTCATTACTAACACACATAATTTCAAGACTTTATATTTTGTCAGATTATTCTTCGAAATTTAAAATTGTTGGTTTTGAATAAGTAAAATTAAGTGTTTGCATACGTAGCACAGTGTTAAACTAGCACAGAACGGTCAAAGAGAAAGTGTCCACTGTTCATTTTTCTCCTAAAACTATTGTGAGAATGAACCTATTCTGTCCTGAACTATTAACCTAAATTTTTGATTGGTTCTGATAGCTAGGACATTTTATCTTCATCACTACACTTAAATATTTTAGGATTCGAAGAAGGCAGTGCACACCATTAGAATCAGCAGCATGTGGTAGTGTATCGGGAAGTATAGCTGCAGCTATGACAACACCTTTTGATGTGGTGAAAACACGGATAATGTTGAGTGAAAACTCTTCACGACCAGGGATAGCGACAACATTGGCAAAAATATGGACAACTTCTGGATACCGAGGACTCTATGCTGGTGTCTTACCTCGTTCCGTTTGGATGGGTATCGGCGGCTTCGTTTTTTTTGGTGCTTATGAGGCGGCTATGCTGCTTACCGGAAACTTATTTTTCTAACTTGTTCTGGAATTTTCTTATCATTATGTCGCATTTTAGATGGGAAACGAAGAAGAAAGTTTGAGCAATTAGTTCTGAGATTTTTAATACGTTAAAATTGAACGAATTTATAAACAATTCAATAACAATTATTACACGAGAAATATTTATATTACACTTAAACATATGTATTAATGGTTATATCAGTATACCTCTTTCATTACTTGTTTAGATCAATCACAGTGTTGCAAAAATCGTCCTCATCCACAAAATCTGCCAGAATCACATTAATATTAGATCGATAACTATGTCCATTCTGAAAAAGCTCATTAGACAGCTCTAACTCATGATCTGAATTTAAGCTTCAAAAGTAAAACAACCGAAGCTAATCGATTTCAAAATTCAGATTTTTATTGTAACTGAGATATCTTTTATTTATTGTATAAAATATACTTGTTTTTATATAGTTTTCTACATTTGAATATGTAAAGGAGGAAAACAACCACCTGTCAGTACGAAAGGCAAATGGTAACATACAAAAAAACGTAATAAATTGTTTTGTTACTGTGAAAGTAAGCTATCAGTTTGTCAATTGAACACTTGAATAAAACAGTTCAACAGTTGAACACAATGGTTTTTTTTTTTTGTGTGGAAGGATAGGATACGGTATGCCGAATCCGTGTTCAGTCTTAAAACGATCTTCTTTTAGTTCTATTGGAATATTCTCGAGTTAGACCAATTTAAACAATAAATATGAGAAGCTGTCAAATACCTGTCGCAGCCAATCGACCAATGCTCTAGTTGCGCGTCGTCCGAACCGTGCTTCAAATGTTCCAGTTGGTTGACGAATGATCGAATTTACTGTTAGCGTTACTATTGCTTGACATACCTTGAAAGATGAGTAATTAGAAGTTTTAAAAAGTAAAGATTTCGAAATTATGACAATACTCAGCAAACAAAGTATTTGATATGATTTGAGCGATTATAGCAATGCATTATTATTATCCGAAACACATGATTTCGAAGTGTATATCTTTCGCAGTTCGAAGTATATAAAGTAAGATAACAAAACAGATTACAGTATTAGTTTAATGGGACAACAAATTAGGTGGTGCATTTACCTGAAAACCGTCCTCAAGTACCCGAGTCTGTAGAATATTTCCCACGTCATCAACCATACGCTTGGCATCATCAGTTTTTGGCCATGGACTTCTAATGAACTGCCGACTCCATACATGATTAGGTAATTTAATGATATCTGATGGTCCAGCATGTCCATTGATATCACTTGCTCTCAACGAAGGTAACGGTGGCTGATAGAAGATTATCACCTGTATCGAAGTTAAGTCAATTGCAGAAATTCTAGAATTGTCTCCAGGTATTTCTGTCTCTAAGCATCTCTAACCATAAATGTTAAGTCTTTACAACAGCGAAGAGTTAGACTTCTAAATTATAATTTATTACTACAAAATTAACTATTAAGAAATCATTGTTTATCTGAAAAAGAAAAACATTTTAAGAATGATAAAACAATGTCAGATAAACTATATATGAATAGCTTCGTTAATTTACGAAATAAACTAACTCTTTAAAAGAAAAATATAAAAATACATAAAAACAAACTCTTCCAGTGCCGTTCCAAATTTTGTTCAATGTATAGCTCATCGCTGTTCGTGTTGTTGTCGGTCGACTAATTAAACGATCACCGAATAAATTACTGATCATATCAAGAAGTTTGTCATGATGTTGCTCACGAAATTCATAGAAATGATTGATATCAATTAGCACTATCTCCTTTGGATGAACTGATAAGAAATCATCCACTCGTTTGAATAGTTCTACAATCAAATGAACAAAAAATATCAATCAAAAATGAATATAATCATTGAAAAAATTAAGATCTCTCTTCTGATATTTCATTTAGTTATATGTCATATCAGTTCTGTCAAAAGAGCAATGACTAGAACACTACTGAAAACTGAAACGTCTAATGAATGGAATGATATTTAAATGACATATCCGAGAGAGTCTTTTATTCAATCTATCTGAATGGCATAAATAATTCATTGAGTAAGAAATAATTGGACAAAACTTATTTATTTTAATAATTAAACAAAAAAAAAAAAAATTACAAAATAATAAATATATATATGTTACCTCTGATTTCCATAGATCGAAGTCCATGCACAACATAAATATCCTCGTTTATATAAGCTACCTGAACATCCAAAAATCGAATACCTGCTTCTAGCTGAAAGTAATTTTGAATTTTAAATAATATTTATTGGAAATAGTTTAAAATTTCTTTTCTTTTTTTTTTTTTTTTTTCAATTAATTATCATATCAAAAAGGATAGCTTAAAATAGTAACGCTTGCTTGCATTGGAAATATCATCAAACTATATGTGATGATAATACTTGTTGCTTAATTGATATTGTTTGAACTTTTGACCAATTATAGACCGCTTTTCGGATCATATCGTTGGAATCAAGAACTCGAACACACCAGGTTTGATCAGGTGTTATTTCGCTATCTTCTTTCAGATTACAAGTACCGCTTAGATGAGATCCTAATGAAAATATTACAAATTTTGGAACAAAATTTTTTTCTTATTCTTTCTCTCAAAATGACAATCATTAATAGTTGATTGAAAAAATTCATTGCAATTTTTAGTCGTTTCATGCAGAATTGCATTTAATAATGAATATAGAAAAATATCATATAAAATTGAATTGAAATTATAATTATAAAAAAGTAATATTGAAAAACCTGGAATAGCAAGTGTCATGATTGGTTTATCTCGGGCAGCAGCTGGTAGTTCAGACATCCAATCGGTCATTTTTTGAAAATGCTCAAAAAAAAAAAAAAAAATTTCTCGACCTTTCAACTTTTGCCATTTTAATTAATTTTAATGAAAATTCACCAATTTACAAGAAATAAAAATTTTGACTGAATATAATTGAGAACACTAGAAGGAATCATCATTCTTCATTTATTCTTTTTCAATTATCAAACATTTAAATAATAAATAAGAAAAAATTTTGCAAAATGATACAAATAACTTTGAAAGAGAGAGAGAGAGAGGGAGAGAGAAAGAGAGAGGGAGAGAGAAGAAGAAAAGACATTTTGTAGTAAAAATCAATCTTTCTATGAAAGATAAATGTGTACATTTAATAACAAATAATCAATATGGTAGTGAATCATCTGGCAATACGAATTCTCATTTCTTGTTTTTCTATTTTGCAAAAAAAAAAAATTAAATAATCGATTACCAGTACTTTCTTCACAAGTACATTACAATTATTAAATTGTAAATACTAAATCTAATTATTTAGTACTATTTCTCTCCTTTTTCACTAAATATTATTACATCACTAATTTACAGATAAATTTTGGACAAATGCGCCAAAAATTAAACTATTATTAATTCTATAACTTAATTATACCATTTATTATTTCTAAATCGTTCCATTTCTTCATAAAATTTTCTTACATATTTCTTAAATAATTATATAAAACTAGCAACAATTCTTGTTGGAATTCTATCGATAAATTGATCGTTTCAAATGAGCCATAATAAAAATGCGCACAGCATCATACCCACAGCATTTCTCATGTCTGTGTATGTATGTGTATGTGTATGTGTGTGTTATGTGTTGTGTGTGTGTGTGTGTGTGTGTGTCTGTGTATGTGTGAAAACAACAAAAGAGAGTTTATCTTGTACTTTAAAACATTTCAGAATTAAATGGAAATGAGAAGGAGGAGGAGAGGAAAAAGGAGGAATGAGAAAGAGTAGTTTAGTTTATTGTTGCAATTGTTGTTGTTGTTGTTGTTGTTGTTGTTGTTGTTGTTGTTGTTGTTGTTGTTGTTGTTGTTGTTGTTGTTGTTGTCAAATAATTTCTAGGTTTTATTATCGGTTGCTTTCGTTGTTTTGTTTTTTTTTTTTTTTGACTTTTCTTTGTAAATTACTTTCTTTGCATATTTTTAATTGTAATTGTTTTCTGAAGAGAGATAGAATTATTGTTGTGGGATCAGTTAATTGTAGCAATAAAATAGAAGCGAAATAATTGAATGTTTTGAAGTAATTTGTATAAGAATGGAAATAAATTTTGAGAGAGAATTTATCAAGTTTACACTATAAAAATGAATTATAATTTGAAATTAGCAATTGAAAATGAAGTGCAAATGATAAATGCAAAAATGATAAATGCAAAAATACGAAACCAAAGTAATTTAAAAGAAAAAAAAGTTGTAATAAGTAAAGAAAAGTAAGTCACGATCGATACATGTAACTAAAGTATATCTTGCAATGAAATGTATTATTTGTATTTTAGCATTCATAATAGCTTACATGTAGAAATTAGCGCCATATTATGCGCAAATTGATCTAGGCTTCTAAAATATATATCTATTCGAGCCAAATTTGGCGCTAAAGTATTATTTTTTTTTTTTGCCTTTGAAGAATGCCATAAATATGGCACATGGTAATTTAATGTAAAAATGATAGTTTTTAAAATATTTTACTTTTCTTTTCTCGCAAAAAAACAATTTATCATTATTTGTTCTTCTTTTCTATTCTATTCAGAAAGTTTTTAAAAAAGTAACAATTAAGTTGAATTTTTTTTTTTTTTTTTCGTGAGATAATATTTGGAAGAAATAAATAAATTTTTAACAGATTGAATAACTCTTAACAAAAAAATTTTATTTGCTTTTTATTATTTATTTGTTTATTTTTATTTTTTTGCTGAATTGATAAAAAAAGTTGAAAAACAATTTCATTAATTAAGATAAATTAAACGATCAAATACAAAATGAATATAATCAAACGCATATTCATTCCAATAACAATGAAATTCTCCATCATTTAGACGTCAGCTGTTAATATTTTAGTTTATGAAATTTGTAAACGTGGACAAACATTTTGTAAATCTCTGAAAATAAAACTTTTACATATAGTAATATATTTTAATTCATATCAAAATTATCAATTTAAATTAAATTAAATTACAAAATGAAAAAGAAGAAAGCAAAATTATATTTATTTATTATACCTAATACCAGCAGATGCTGCACATGAGCACATCTGTTGTACAGCAACATTATCAAAGCCACTTGTTATAGCACATTGTTTAGCTTTTTGTATTATTTCCAAATTAGCTGGTAAATTAAGACCACATCTTAAATTTAAATTTTAAAAATAATAAATTTAATAACAAAATCAATTAACATTTTATATTTTTAGCTAAAAATTTCTTATCATAGTTATTTTAATTAACATATTATCATAGCTAACTAATTTTTCACATTTAATTTAATTCAACAAAAATGATTTTTATGAGTCAAAAAAAAAAAAAAAAAACAAACTCAAGTTTATCATAGCAATATTTGCTTGATCGATCTATGCATTCTCTTGCACATCGCAAAAAACGTCGTCCAACTGATATTAATGGTTGCAATGGTCGCGCGAAATCTAAAAATCATTCGCAAAAAAATTATTCCACTAATCTATAATTAAGTAATTAATTGTTAATCTAAAATTTATTACTAATTAATTTAGTTTTAATTATGAAAATATCATTCAAAATAAAACACAAAATATGCGATATTTGACAAAATTTTGTAGCAAAAAAAATCATGATTTAAAAAAAAAGAAAAAAAAAAAATTGTGACTAATTAATATTTAAGTTTATTTAAAATGAGAGAAAAAAAAAAGAGTGACTAAATTAAAATTTAAATGAAACTTTATAAATTATACTTCCAAGCATTCGGTTGATTTCAGTAAGTCCAGCAATTTCCAATGATTCAAAATATGTTTTTTGAACATAATTTCCTGATTGTGCTGCACATCTACAATTTATAAATTATTTTGAATAAATGTTTTTTTTTTTTTTTTTTTTTTTTTTTCTCATATATCTTTTTAATATTATAAAATAATTTCAGAAATTCTTTTTTTTTTCTTTCTCTCTTTTTTTGCTTTCTAAATTATAAAAGTGTTAAAAAAAAAAAAAAAAAAAAATTATAATTTAAAAATATTACGCATTATAGAAAACATTTTGTGTACAATTGATTGTTCGTGAAATTTTCTCTTCATTTTGTAAAACACAATTTTTGAGCGTTTCATAGTCTGCTTTTACCTTATATGCATATCGCTGTAATATAACATTAGATTTAATTTAATTTCATTTTATTTAATAAATTTATCCAATATATTTAGCTAATATTTATATTACAATAAGTAAATAAAAATATATAAATAAATAGTTTTTTTTTTAAAAAATATATAAATAAATATTTTTCTAGTGATATAAACAAAATTAGACATCGATAAATTAGCTATTATAGCTTTAAGGGTGGTTGAATTTTTCTAAAAAATTTGATTTCATTTAAGTTTTGATTTAAATTTATTTCACTCTAAATTATTTATTATACCTGGCATCGATCAGCACATGGTTTTACAAGATTTAACATTCGTTCACGACATTTCTGTATTTCATTACATGTACATTGACGAATAAGTTCACATTGAACATTATATCCAAGGAATATTATTAGAAATGGAAAACAAATACACATCAATTGCATAATTTTAATATTTTGCCTAAATGAAATTTCGTTAAAATGAAAAATAACTGCAAAAAAAAAGCAAAAGAAAAAAGAAAAACTCTTAGTGATATTTAATAAATAATAAAAAAAAAAATGAAATAAATCATAATTATCCATTACATCGATCAAATACATTATATTATTAAATAGTTGAAATTTTCTATAACATTTGGTTCAATTCAAATTTTAATTTAAATTTCTAAATTATCCAATTATTAAATAAATATGTCATAGATATCACAGAATGACAAAAAAAAAGCGATAAATATCAGAGAAAATAATTATCATAAAATGAAATTATTTTATAATCAAAATTTAAGCGATAAAATATTCAATGTTAATCATAACGTAAATCTTTTAAATTCACTCAGTTCTGTGAAAAAAAAAAAAAAAAAAAATCAAAATAACCACTTACTAATGAAACAAAAGTAGAGATTTCTACTAGTTACACTTTTTCTCTTTTTTTTTTTTTAAATTTAAAAAAAAAAAAAATTTATTGTTATAGGAGTGGAACGACTATTCTCATCAAAATTACTGATTAAAAAAAAAAAAAAAAGAAAAAAATGAATTTACAAAAAGGATGGAAAAACAAAAGAATGAAAAATCCTTCAGGGTACTTTTAATTTTCATTTTTTTTTTTTTTTTTTTTCATCTACAATGACATTCGTTTTAAAGATTGATGAAATATTTATTTACTTATTTATCCTTCATTATTTCTGTTTTAAATATTATTTCAGTATTTGTGGCTGAATTTGGAAATGATTAGCAATAATTTTGACATCAAACAAGTAGCAAAAAGTAATGTATTAATATTAGAAAGAAAGAGATGAAATTATTATTTTGAGAAATTTTTTTTATTTTTGAGATGAAATTATTTAAGAAAACATTCAAAAAATTAAATCATTAACAAATTTTTTGTCTAATTATTAATTCTATTCTTTATTTACAATAACTTTTCATTTATATTAAAATTTTATAAATCTATGAAATGAGCTATTGATAATGAAATGTAATCAATCACTTCTTATACTATCTAATATACAATAGAACAATTAAAAATGGGTTGTAATAATGACTTTTCATCATATTTCAATATCTCAATTATTGTTGAACAATTTATAAATATTAGTTAATATAATTGATTTACAATTATAATAAAAAGATAAGTGAAATAATTTATCATTTAGTTTGCAAATCTGTAAAAAAAAAAAAAAAAAAAAAAATTAGTTGAAATATATTATTGGAACTAATTTTCTTCCTATTCCATATTCTAATTTTTTTTTTTTTTACTTTCTGTTTTTATTTTGAATTCAACAAATTAAACGAATATAACAAAGGAAAAAAAGTTTAAAATAATAATCTCATCACAGTTAAAAATTTCAACATTCAAATTAATTTAATTCTATTAGAAATTTTATCACTATATCTAAGAGAAACTTTGAGTAAATACTTTTAAAATTTATTTCAGAAATGAACCACTAACATTTCCATACATTTAATAAGAAATATATTTACTCAGCAAGTAAAAAAGTAAAAAAGATGAAATTTGAAAATTTAGCCTTAAATTAAATTTTCTTTTAATGAGCAAATTAAAATGAAAGTAATTATTTAATAATCTTTAAAAAGGAAAGAAAAAAAAAAAAGAAGATAACCGGTTAATTAATGCAGATAATACATCAGTATGTAAGCGAATCTAACAAGTTTGAGAAAATTTCAAGTTTGATCTGTCATAAATATCACACTGCAACGACTAAATCTTTGTTGTCCATAATAATAATTGCTGTAATATACTACAAACTTTTATTGTTATCAATCAAACCATTTTCAAAAAAGATCAGATTAATTTCATGATAATTTTGTATACAAACAAAAAAATAAATAAATAAAAATATTACATTAAAATTTATATATGTTTGTAAAGAATAAAGGAAGAAAGTGATATATTTGATGGAAATAATTGGAGTAACAATTAAAAAATTTAGATCTTTGGAGAAAATGAAATGTTCAATGTCGGAAACATGAAAAGATGTTGACAGAAAGTGTTGACTGTCTCATCTATTTCATATTTCATCAATTTGAATAGGAACTGATGCACTTTTATATCACATATCAGTGGTAATTTTATTTTATATAAAAAAAAAAAAAAAACTTTTTGTTTAAATTTATGAATATTTATTCAAATGTTAAACTTTTTTCAAATGCATAATAAATTTCTTCGTTCCTAATATAATGAAGTAACTTTGATATAAGTAATAGGAAAAAAATGCATACACAATAGGCTGTCACTTTTTTTTTTTTTCAAGCAAATATGTAAAATTTTGTGCTGAAAAGAAAAAAAAAAATTCAATAATATTGTAATTTTTATGAAATAAGCTTTTAATCATTTCATTTTTACTTTTATTTCTCTACATCCTATGATAGATGATAGTAGGGAATGTTTATTTTTAATAAGTCATAAACAATTATTGAATTGAAATGTTAGAATTTTTGAAATTATCACTAGGATATGTGAACGAAATTGTCATGAAAATAGATATTTCAAAAAAAAAAAAAATTTTTTTTTTTTGTTTGATTTCAACTAAATAAAAAGTCTGAAACCGGTCGGTGACATTATAATTGTAAAACTAACATAATTAAATAGCGAATTTTGCCCTATGAAAGTGAGATATTTATAAAAATTGAAAATTGCTCTTAATTGAATAAAGTAAGGATGAAATTGAAATCTTTTTTCAATATCAGTATTGCTTTTCTGATTGCTATTTCTTCATTTCTTGTCTGCTGAACAAACTTTTTTCTTTAAAAAAAAAAAAGAAAAACTCGAAATCATTTCAGGAATGTATAATTAATTGAAAGAAAAATTAATTAATTAATTAAATTTCAGTACTTAAAAAAATTTTATTTTTAATGATTTAAAGAGGTGTAGTATCGACGACAAAAACAAAAACACATTTTAAAGATTTTAGCAACAAATTATAAGTTGCAAAGCAGTAGAAAGACTGTTTCATCCAGCAAAACTTATTAATCACTCAATGAATGACAATAAAATTCATTAATACAACTATATTCAATGATACAATTCATTCTGAATACGATATGTTATGCTTAATTTATCTCACAACTAAAAATTCAGCTGTTCAATTTGACTTTCTCAGCATTTGTTTATATTCCTACGTAAGTCCACGTTCAATCATTTATACGCTTCAATCCACGTTCAATCATTTATACGCTTCAGCCCACGTTCAATCATTTATACGCTTCAATCCACGTTCAATCATTTATACGCTTCAATCCACGTTCAATCATTTATACGCTTCAATCCACGTTCAATCATTTATACGCTTCAATCCACGTTCAATCATTTATACGCTTCAATCCACGTTCAATCATTTATACGCTTCAATCCACGTTCAATCATTTATTCTTGTATTCGTTGCTAAATTATTTGTTTGAGTTATTACTTTACACTGTTTAAGTTATTACTTGAAATAGCGAGTATCGCAAATGAGTACATAATGAATATCGTAACTTTTCCATAAGGAACGCTTGCAATTTGTACACTTTGCCTCAAATCATCATAGATACATCATTTAGCTACATGAATCCATCTATCGAGTTCAAAGGTCAGCAGATGACAAACCTCGCAGTACCACCAAACTACGAGACTCTCAACCTTACTGACATCATCGGTAACAAAGTAGTTTAGACCAACTTCAATCTATTTCGATGTGCACTTTTGACTAGTAATGTGGTTTTGAAACCAAATGGTAAAAAGTGTTAGGTGCATGTTTACGTGTTTGTGATTAGCTAGCTGGAAATATTATGTGGGAGCTACGTGATCGTCCGTAAAGCTTCTCTACGTGTCCTTATTCCGAAAACGACGAATTTCGACTAAACAATGGGTAATTTTGGAATTGGACTCGATTTTGGTGGAGGGAAACATTTCGAATACTTTGCATGGAACCAAACACTTCGATCTTCTAAAAGAAGTCAAAATGACGAATGCACAATTGTTTAGTAACAAAATATGTAGGTAACTGGATCTCTCTTACATAGCAGATATCGATAGTTAGATCATTCTTGAGAGTATAACAAATTGAAAGTTTCTTTTTAGTTAATATTTAGCTTAAGAGAATAAATGTAGCAGAATTCATTATGTGGTAGTAATATAGGCTGAAATATATAGTAAAGTAACGTTATATGAGATATCTCAATAACAGAGAAAGTATAAATTCTTCGGAAGAGAAGGATGTGCAGGCATAATTAACTCGTTCATTCGTATTCAAAGCGTTTCTTTTTTACCGACGGGAACTTGAATGTTTGTCAGTTTATATTGTTATGTAGGCATGTGTTAGTGTATACAAAGTGATAATTGTTCTTAATGTTAAACTCGAAGAATAACTAGTTTCAGTCAAGAAAATCGAGTGTTAAAGAATAAAATATTGGATGAGTTCAACATCAGAAATACTTACTCCACAGGTGGAACTACTTCAGATATGTCGACGAGTTACGGAGGGACAGCTAGCTCCAGATGCTGCATGCAACATGATTCGGATACTTATGGTATGGTTATTTCCAGTTTATTTAGATATATCATACTTTCCCTGTCTATGCAGTATTCATATCATTGTTTACATCATGTCTCTCAGAAATTGTTACATGGTGTTGCTTTGCGTGATAAATAGTACAGTCAGTCTTCAAGCATTTATAATATCGAGAAGACAAATTTAAATGAAGAGTATTCGGTTCAGTGCTTCACGTTTGCAGAAAACGATTGATAATATTCCTAGTTTGCTGGTGGATGTTTTGGCAATTGTGGATCTGGAATTGAGCACGGAAAAGAAGAGTGAAGAATTTCGTAAATGTTTCGTGGAATTGTTGTCACATCTTTCTGACCGGGCAAGTGAACACATTGAATTGATACATCACTTCCGCATAATATAACTTAATTGTATATTAGGTTAAATAACTTA